ACTAAAAATATATATATATATATAAAAAATTAGCAGGGCATGGTGGCACATGCCTGTAGTCCCAGCTACTCGGGAGACTGAGGCAGAAGGATCGCTTGAGCCCAGGAGTTTGAGGTTGCTGTGAGCTAGGCTGATGCCACAACACTCTAGCCCGGGCAACAGAGCAAGACTCTGTCTCAAAAAAAAAAAAAATGTAGGTGAAAGACATGAAAAGATTTTTCTCAAAAAGAAAAAAGACAAATGGCCAAGAAAATATGAAAAAAAGAATGCTCAACATCACAAACCATGAGGGAAATTAAAACAACAAAGAGATCTACCTTACCCCTGTCAGGCTGGCCATTACTACAATGTCAAAAAACAATAGATGTTGGTGTGGATGTGGTGAAAAGGGAACACCTATATACTGTTGGTGGGAATGTAAACTAGTATAGCCTCTATGGAGAACAGTATGGAGATTCCTCAAAGAACTAAAAGTAGACCTACCATTCAATCCAGCGATTGCATTACTGAGTATCTACCCAAAGGAAAAAGTTCTTTTATCAAACAGACACCTGCATCTGAACATTTATTGCAGCACAATTTACAATTGCAAAGATATGGAATCACCCCAAGAGCCCATCAATTGATGAGTGGATAAAGAAAATGTGGTGTGTGTGTGTGTGTGTGTGTGTGTGCATATGTGTGTGTATTAATATTAATATATATGGAGTACTACTCAGCTGTGAAAAGGAATGAAATAATGTCTTTTGCAGCAACGGACATCGAAAACTAAGAAGTGGGGAGGGTGGGTAAAAACCTACCTATTGAGTACAATGTACACAAATCTGGTGCTGGGTACACTGAAAGCCGTGATTTCAGCATTACACAGTTCATCCACGTAACAAAAAAACATTTGTACCCCCTAAATCTATTGAAATTTTTTTAAAAATCTATGTAAGTATAAATCCATTTAAAACCTCCAGGAGGTATTGCTAAGAGTTCTTTGTACTATCACTACAAGCTATGTTATGGTCCTTGGCCCTAGTAAATAATCCTCAAACCTATTTAAAATAGCTTTTCTGTTAATACTAATCTCGTACCATATAAATCTTCATTACATTAGTGATTTGGTTGACTTAGTGGAATATGCCATTATTCTTCCCATTATTATATGTCATTCATCGTCACATATATCCAGGTGGCCACCTCCAGAGCCTAGGCTAAATGTATTCTATTCCTTTTTTGAGTCAAATCTTGGGGTTCTTTGGGGGATCCTCATAACCCACTTTAATCTTCCCTCAGAAGATTATGGAAGGAGAGCCTTCCTAACAGCATTGTCTATCGCTGACTTTCTTGATCATCCATTCATCAAAGGCTTGTATGCCTGATAAAATGATGAAAATACCACATAGGAGTCTGTAAATATCCAGACATTGCTTCTAAAGTGAGAACCGAATGCTACCTGCACTGAAGGATATGTTGCTCATACATATTGTCATTTAGTGGACTAAATTTTGCCTTCTTTGACCCAAGTTTTACCATTCAGAGGGAAAATTTCAACAGATTTCCATATGAATCACATCCTTCAATTTGAGAACCTCTACTGGGAAATCATGTACCCTGTTTTTCTTTACCAGAAAGTGAATAACTGCGTTCATATCACTGAGCAGTAGGATTGGAAGCCTTTGCCAGATATTCTTTTTGTTCTGAAAGTTATGCCCATGAATATGACATACTTTCCTGAGCCACCGTCTATAACATGCTTCTGTATGTACCATTTACATTTTATCAAGGAACTTTGTTACAGTGTGCATCCTTTTATGAAATGTCCCTCTGACATCACCCGTGACATAGAGGGCACTCATGATGACATTTAGTGGCCTCTCTATGAAAGTCCAATATCTTCTCAGTTGTTGTTTTTAAAGTGGGCTTCATTCGGTCACTGTATCAGGGAATTATTGAATCTCAAATCCCAGTGTTCATCACAGGGTGGCAGTGTTAGGCTTCTGTCAGGGTTTCCAGTCTGCATATCTTCACACAGTAGACACCTCCAAAAACATCTAGGCATTAGGATTATTGGGTTCCAATGGTATTGCATGGGCAAATTCCCATTATAAATCTCCTAGAACATCAGTTCCCAACCTTTTTGGCACCGGGGAATGGTTTCACAGAAGAAAATTTTTCCATGGACCCAGGTGGGGAGTGGGGATGGTTTCGGTATGATTCCAGTGCATTACACTTTTTGTGCACTTTATTTCCATTGTGATGACATTATCATATATAATGAAATAATTATACAACTCACCAAAATGCAGAATCAGTGGGAGCCCTGAGCTTGTTTTCCTGCAACGAGACAGTCCCGAGACTGCAAACAATTGATTTATTATGGTCTCTATGCAGTCAAACCTCTCTTCTACTGATAATCTCTATTTGCAGCCACTCCACAACACTGGCATCACCGCCTCAGCTCATTCTCAGATCACTAGGCATTTGATTCTCATAAGGA